AATCATCGTGGGAAATTTTACCTCCTATCCATTCCTATATTGGAACAATGATGCCTGTAAGAATGAAGGATAAGCAATAGGCATTTAATGATTTTTATATGCAGAAAATCAAGCAAAGTAATGCGGGTTACTTGCAATAAGAAATAACCTATATGAGAGAGAAGTTGGGCCATTTCTAAGAAAATTTTGTGGGGCTTAATTCTTAGTAACTCTCGTAGAACGATGCATATGTTCATGGCAAAAAAAGAACATAATAATGAGAAATATATTTTGTTAGGAAGAATCCTGTGTAGCGTATGTCATTTTTTATTGGTCAGCTAGTAAAGTAAATGTACGTTCACAAGGGAATGTTCAAAGGGTAATACTTACATGTCTTATGCAAGTTTCAATTGTTGAACTATATCACCAAGTCTTTATGTATCATATTTCTATCTTGCTTTCAATTTTCATTCATGTGAAAGATTGTCGGAAAAATGGCTTGGTTAAGCTTATTTTGGCACAATTTTAGGTGGGACCCGTTGGTTCAATTTTCAAAATCAAAGTTAATTCATGTTCTCCTTCATGAGAACATCGAAATCATATGTTTACTTGTCAAAAATGATAAATAGATGAATGAGAAATTGGAGTTCAAAATAGACCATTGGTAGAAGTTATGTTGGAGAGAAAACTATATTTAAGTTTATCCCCCATAGGCAATTAATGAAAGCAATGACTACTTTATATATGGTTACACTTTGGAATGGTGTGATCATGTGTAGCATAGAAATTCTCTCCACGTGCACGCGTGCAAAGTGGTGCAAATCAATTACCAAAATTGTACATTGAGTCTTGAACTTATGTGCGAACTTAACCTGCATACATGAATGTCGGACGGAACGGAGCAAAAATTAGCCCTTTAGGAGTGTTCGCGTTTTGCTAATTTTTTACTTTCTCCAATTGATTTTTTAGCTTATGAAACTATTGAAACTCTAATGGCTATTGCCATTATAATATTGAGCTAATGGGCAAATTTACACACCATTCATGAGGGCCAAGTTTATAAATGAGTTCGTTTTCCACCATTCAAAACCAAAAAGTTACACTCTTCTACATAATTTTTAGTTTTGCATAATCTCTGGTTCTAGATTTTCGCATAATTTTCAATTCCAGTTCTCTGAAAATTTTCGTCTAAGTCTTGGTGGTGCTATTCTGACACAAATTCATTTCGTCGGAGTAGAAATTTAAGTGCTCAAATTCTACCAGTTCTTCCGTTATATCTTAGGAAATAGATGTCCAAACTAAATCTCAAGCATCTACGCTAATGGGGTAAATCTATTTTAAAGAAACTGTGCACACATAAGCCTTGAGTTGCAGATTTACAGTATTCTCGGCCCATGTTATATTTCTGTAATTTTCATTCTCTGTTTCTACGTTCTTGTTGTAATAAATGAAGTTCATATTATACTGCGTTATTATAACACTCAATTTATAATGTAAGAAGGAAAATGAGTGCCATACATATTTCTACAAAATTTCGGATTTTATTTCCAATGTTTAAAAGATCACTAACAAACTACCAACTAAGCTCTCGTTTGGCCCCCATTCTTGACAACTTTTAATGATTGGAATAGTATTTTTTTGAAAAATGTGTGGTTGAAAAAGAATGAAAAGTTTTTGATTTGCATATAATATTATTTTATGCAAGATTGTGTGATTGAAAATAAGAGAGAGAAAAAGAATGAGAAGGAGAATGGGGTCAAACGGGGGCTAAATTTTGAGGGTACAATTATTTTAAGATGTTTAATTTTGAATTATTCAAATAGTTTCGTCACACGAATTAATGTTTACAGCGTAAATTCTTCATTCTTGTGAACTAACAAACTTATAGAAACAGAATTATCGTCTTAATCATACACTATTAAAAAAAAGAATTATTCTTGATGTACAGGGTACCGACTACTCACAACCAGGGATGTGTGAATTTTTTTGGGTAATTTTTTATAGTAAATGTTCATGAAAATAATATTTCGATTTTAACACTACTAGTATACCGTTTGTAACAAGTAATAAATTGGAATAAAGAGTTCCGAATGTTGTCCAACAAAAATCGAGTTAGTTTAATTTTACTTATCTCGACATTAATCGAAACCAAGTAGTCAAACGTGATAGTTGCAAATTGATTATACCCAAACTAGACTAGATATGCAATCGTGAATGAAATTGAATGCAAAACGATAATTGAATGCAAATTTGATGAAATTAATGAATGAGAAACGCACTAGGATTGTGAATCCCCATTCAACGATCTCTTTTAGTCCTAGTTCTACAAATTGACCATACGTTGAAGTTTGAAGATTCAATGTCCTTATTTTATCCAACAATCTCTCTCGAGTAATGTTGAACTTACTTTCATATACGACCCGACTATATTTTCATGACGGATGTAAATATGAAAGAATGTATGGATTTTTGTGAACTCTTAGAGATTCACGCAGGACATCACTGTATATCTCTATTCCCTATCGGATCCTACGATGGTTTATACCCCGTCGAGCCTATTTTCCTTCTCTCAAATGCATGAAACAAGTCATCAAATTCACACAATCACATGCACATAATTATAGAAGAAAAGCATTGCATATAAATCATTCAAATTCATGTAACGTGTTTCATTGTCAATCATGTAAAACTAGAAATCAAAGATTACATCACATGGATCATCGTTCTCCTAGTATAGATTTATCTAGCCTTGATTGGGGAAAGTAATACAACACAAAGAAATCTGAAGAAACGACATCAACGATTTAATATTTTACTTGAATCTTCGCATAATCCTGCTGCTCTTCGTTTTTCTCCTCGTCTTTGTGGCTCAAAATTTCCTTCAAGGTGTATTCTTTACATTCTCAATGTGTTCACCCTTTAATTGACGGCTCTAGAGTTTTTATATCTGTCACGCGACTTGTTTTCATAAGAGTTTGAAGCAGAGCAGGAAACTGAAAATCCTACTCCGGAGTATAACCATGCGACTGCATGGTTCATTGGAAGGGGTCTCTTGGTTCTCTCTCTCTCTCTCTCCTTTTTTTTTTTTTTTGGCCAAAAGTGACATTTAGGCCCTTGATTTCCAATTTCTTGGTCATGACTTCTTTCCTCATTCTTCCTTCACCCAATACTTCAAATCCTCACTAAATTGGCTCTTGAGTCTTCCACATCTTTGTTTTTTATTTCAGTTTATCTTTTGACTATTTGCACTTGGGTCCCTGAACTTTTGTTTTATTCTGTTTTGGTCCTTTTTGTTTCTTTTTTCTTAAATTGCGTCATATCCATCAATATAGTCCCACAAAATGAATTTATACAAAATTAAGCCTTATTCAAACATCATTATCTACAATTTGTCAAGTTTTGTGGCAAAATAAGTGTGTAAGAATGTACTTATCAGTGGGATCCACCAGATGTGACTAGTCTGTGTGAACCCCTACCTGTGCATCAGGAATAATTCTATGAAAAAATTACATACAGGTGAATAGAGGTTATATCATGTGAGAAATTATCAGTAACTTTAATAAAAAAATTTACACCCGTGACCGGCTTCTCCCCTCCAGTCTTTTAACGTAAGCATCGAAATCTTCCTCAATAAAACTGCAAATATTATCAGGCAATATTTAGCGACAAGAACTCAACAAAATCAGATTTTTTTTCATTCAGATAAGAATTGAAAAGATTTCGCCTATTTAAAAGCTCTTTAACAACCTGCATATTACCATTAGATTGAGAATAAAAATATTCCACAAAGACCCTCTTAATTCATCAGCTGCAAGGTCTCTCTGGCGATTCTTATCAGGAGCCTCTCTCAAGCATGCCATGTGTGCAATTTCCCGTCCACTGGCACCCCCTACAAAGATTTCATTATCTTCAACTATTCTAAAATTACAACATATAAAAAAAAAAAAAAAAAAACAGATTGAATTTTTTACCCGTAACTGTAATTGGAAGAGCCAGGAATCAGGAATTAGTCAACATGCATTGTTTCACAATTAATCGAATACCGTTTTGTGATCGAAAGAGAGGTTTACAAATTTTATTCAACCAAAATTGTTAACTGTCTAAAACAAAATATCTAAATGGAAATTACAATAAAAAATGAATTTAGAGATAACCAAGATGCCATGGGAGAATTCTTTGCCCCTTCCTTCTTATCCTTCTGGGCTGTCTTTTTAATGCAATGCATGCATGCAAATTGGACAGCACGGATGCAGCATGAGTAAAAAACACGGATAATCTACATATCAATTCTTGTTGGTTCAAATGAAAAATGGGAATCAATTAAAAGCATATTGAAGTAGCATGATGGAAGAAAATTCTGTAATTCTCAAATGATGTAGCCTCTACTAGTGGACTAAATTTTAGTTTAATTCCTTTTTCACCCGTACGTAAAATTTTTAACGTTGAATAATTTAGACAAAAATTCTGGTTCTATAATTTTGTTAATTCCAAAGAGTTTTCGTGTTAAACATTAACTGCTCGAATAATTCAAAGTTACTTGTACCCTCCCAATTAAGTGGGTAGTCTGTTGGTGATCATTTAAACATTGGAAACAAAATCCAAGAATCTTGCAGGAATGTGTGTCATTCATTTTCCTCCTTACATTATAAATTGAGTTCAGAGAGATCTAAAACATACAAAAAACAGAACACAAGAGGTAAAGATGGTTTCCAAATTCACCTTCTTGTTCCTCCCGCTGTTAGCACTCATCGTACATGCCAAACATCCTGCGACTTTCAATATCGGAAAGTATGGTGGGAAACCCAATGCAAATATAGCCAAGGTATGAAATTCCTCAAATTTTCTCGTTCGTTCATTGGTTCTTTCACACATTTCATTTTACACAATTTTCTAAACATATATGAGACAGGCTTTATTAAGCGCTTGGAAGGAGGCATGTGCAGCTACAACTCCAAGCACAATTGTGGTACCAAAAGGCACATTTTTGTTAAATCAAATAAAATTAGAAGGCCCATGCAAAGCCCCCGTTGAGCTTCGAGTCAAAGGCCTCATTAAAGCCCCTTCAGATTATACTAAATTACCTGACAAAAAGGCCGAATGGATCACTATAAGGTACGTCGACCACTTGACAATACAAGGTGGTGGAGTTTTCGATGGCAACGGCAAAAAGGCATGGACCAAAAACGATTGTGGCAAAAATCCAAATTGCGTCAAACTCCCGTTAGTAAGTTTATTATGTATACGCACAAGTTTTCTATTCGTCGTCAAGATTAATTGAATTGAGTAATTAATTAAATTCATGACTACAGAATGTCAGTTTCAATTTCCTCACCAACTCAATCATTCGTGATGTGACAACTAAAGATAGCAAAAATTTTCACGTTAATGTGATAGGGTGTAAGAATGTTACTTTCCAACGTTTTACCGTGAGTGCGTCGATTAAGAGCATCAACACAGATGGACTTCACATCGCAAAGTCAGAAAGGATTAATGTCACTGACTGTATCATAAAAACAGGAGATGATTGCATCTCCATAGGTGATGGTATGAAACAACTCCATGTCCAAAATGTGACTTGTGGGCCAGGCCATGGCATCAGCGTTGGAAGTCTTGGCAAAGGAGCAACTGAAGAAGATGTAACTGGGATATACGTCAAGAACTGCACATTTATTGGCACACAAAATGGTATTAGAGTGAAAACATGGCCTTCTGCCCCGGCAACACTCAAGATAACGGATCTGCACTATGAAAATATTATTATGGATGATGTTGAGAATCCTATTGTCATTGATCAAGAATATTGTCCGTGGGATCAGTGCGAGCAAGCAGTAAGTCAAAATCAAACTCCATTTAATACAAAGTCAATTATAAATTTCATCTATCATTAACTGCATTATTTTTTATCTTCATGTACAGTCTCCATCTCTTATCCAAGTGAGTAAAATGACCATAAAAAACATTAAGGGCACGTGTACAACTCCGGTTGCAGCGAAATTTACTTGCAGCAAAACCAATCCTTGCAAAAATGTGGAGATCGGAGATATTGATCTTGCATACAATGGAAGCGAAGGCCCTATTACCACTAAATGTGCCAACATCAACCCTACTTTTGTTGGCAAACAGAATCCCCCAATCTGTGATGCTCCTTCTCGGGCTGCTTAGAACAAGACTCCAACTATGTTGTAATAATGTGGGGAAGGAAAGCTTCATTTGGTATTTTCAACAGCGTAATAAAGTCTCTATGAAGCTAGTAGAGACAAGTTCAATTGGCAACCTCATCAATACATATATGCAGTAAATTCAGTACTCATCTACACCAAAATAATGAGATTAAATATAAGCAATATATTACGGGTTCATCCTTCTCACTTAATATTACGACTTTTTTGTGGAAATCAAAAGGTAATTATATTAAGATAAATATTTCTTATGGAGGAAAAAATAGCAAATGACAATTCAACCCAGTGCACATCGCCGGGTAAAGAAGTCACCTGAAAAGCTAATTTATGGGCACCCCCCCCCCCCCCCCCCAAAAAAAAAAAACTATCCCCGAAAAAGAGACAAAACCCCCAAGAGGAATTGATCCAAAGGACCGAGCTATGTGCACAGCATTGCACATAGCTTGATTGACAGCACCTTCAAATCAGGGGGCCCGCATCATTTTTTTATTGGTGCGGGCCCCACCGAGTTGTGAGGGTATTGTACATGTACAACACCTTTTGGTGCTGTTTGTACAACTTATTCCTTGATCCAAATCCTACTGCTCTGGTGGCTCTGGTGTACTGATTAAATCTTGGACCAAGTTGCGATTGGACCAAAAGTTGTTGGTCTGACAACCCAAAACAAGGATCAATAAAAGCCCAAATCTTTTCCTTTTGAGTGTTTCTTAACAGTACTTGAATAAATTTGTGCGGACTCTTTTGCACATTCGGGCTATACATTATAAAGGTGTTTGAGCCCCATTTTTATGGGAAAAAAAAACATATTTTAGAATAGTGGAATGATAAGAATTATGTGGTTAAAAATAAGGAAATTTTTTTAATTTACGTGTAATATTATTTTAATGAAGAATATGTGGTTGAAAAGAAGAGAGAAAAATATATTTTTGAAAAAAAAAAAATCAAACAAAACCAATAATGATTTTTCCAAATTAAGTTGTGACCAAAGCCCATTTCATTAAGGAGAAAATTAGGTTCAGTACGACCCAATAATTAAAACATAGATATACACTTAATTATTAATGTTTTTATTAATTTTTAACTATTCGTACATTATACATCCAAAAGAGATTAAATGATATTAGGTGCATCCCCAACAAAACCCTAACCCACTCATCACTACTACATTGCAATCCCATCCATCATCACAGTTGGCAACATTAAATACTCTATGACTCAAGGGTAAACACAGATATTTTGAATTAGAGGGAACAATCAAATCTTGTACAGATCAAATATTTTATTCTTAATTTTTGAATGATTCCTACTTGACTCGAAAAAAGTAGATTTGCGTTTATAAAACATTTCTTCATTAATATTTTGCTAATCATTTTCATCAATTTGATTTCAAATATTTATTTTTTTAATATTTTGCTCATCACAACAAAATGCATATTTATGTTTTAAGAATTTATAGAGTATTTGAAATTTTGATACAAACAATCAATTAAAACGATCAATTTTAAGTAATTGGGAGGAAAAATATATAACCAACATTCAATACTAACAATCAATAAAATAAACACAATTCATTAATTAAATATAAATCAAATTGGACGTAATACACAATTTGATAGAAGAAAATGCAATTTTAGATTTTAATTAGTTGAAAAATTGATTGAGAAGTGAAGATTTGGAATAGATGTGATAATTTGTAGAAAAATTTTAGAAAAGTAGAAGGATTACTGTTTTGGTAAAAGGGGTGAGGGAGAGAGTTGTGAAAGAATAAGAAAAAAGAAAAAAGTTTAAATCTACTATTTTACCCAGGTTTTGAGAGGATTAAAATTAGATTATTAGTAGATTTTGATAAAAGTTAAAAAGTTGTAGGCTTCATGAAATATTTTATTAATTAATATTAATTGTTAACTTTGATTTATATTAAAGTTTAGATTTTAATTTATACCAAACGTGACTCTATCAAAAAATAAAAAAAATAAAAAATCCAAAAAGTTCGTAGAACTCCCAATACCCCTTGTTTGCACACCTGCTCAGACCCACTTGACTCGTGACTCCATCTATCTCATCGCCATCATAATTAGATATTCTCATACCCATGGGTCAAGAAGGCGATAGCAATGTTCAATAATTTTCTACAACTGAAGGTTGTTCAATTTGGGTTCTTCGATTGTGGCTATCAAATTTTTTCCTTTGTGATCGAATTTTCAATTAAGGAGTGAGTACAAAACAGTGTAGAAGACAAGCAAATAAAAGGCAAGAGATTCAACATCGTTTTGGTATTTTCAAATAAGTTTTACAATTTAAATTTTTGTTAGAAGCAAGCAAGCACGTTTTATATTGGTATCAGAGCCTAAGTGGGCTGTTTTCTTACTTAAATATATGATAAAAATGGTTAGAAATGATTAAAACGCATGTACGTTATTTTCTTCAAAATTTTGAACATTATTAATGGAAACTTTTGATATACTGTATATAAATTCATGAAATTTATACTGTATATTCATGATATTATAAATAATGTATCTGGAAAATTTCAATTCGTTTGGATTTTTATTTTGGGAGAAAAATTAAATCCTAATTGAGAAAATTGAAACTTCATTGCATGATAATTTCTTGCATGTTAAAGTTCCACGCTATCCATTTTATATTGTTGGATAGATCTTCTCGAAACCTTTCCAACGATATAAAGAACATAATTTTTGGCTTTGAATTGAAGAAGTTATGGTCTTTCGAAGTTTTGATAGAAATCTGAAAATTCTGCTCATTTTGAAAATGATGAACAATACCCGAAAAAAATGAAATTGTTGCTGTGGAGGAGGCAATTCCAAATTTGATTTTAAAATTTACATAGTGGTCCCTTAAATATTTCAAATTTAATTTGAAAAATTGCATGTTAGTCCCAATACTTTTGAATGTTGATTATTCCAAATTCAATTTGGAAAATTGCTTGTTGGTCCCAATTTTTTTTTTGGAAGTTGATTATTCAAAATTAAATTTAAAAGATTGCAAATTAATCCTTCAAATATTCTTGATTTTTTATGCAATTAAAACTCAATCTTTTTTAAATGAAAAATACTCATAAAGTGTTTGATATAACACATGAGTGTTTGATATGCGTTCATAAGTGGTATGGATCTTGATTAGGCTATGCGATCCATTGTGACTAGTTTTCAATTATTGTGCTTGATTAGGAATGGCTGGACCAACACGCATTTTTAGCATTCTTAGAGGGAAAGCTAGTAAAGCATAGGCTGTGGAACGTGTTGAAAAATTACGTGCTTATAGAAACTATGAAATGGATCCACAACATGACCTAGTATATCATATAAAATATCTTGAAGCAATACGTCTAGAAGTAATACATTTGGGACAACCTATATGTGTGGTGGAAGGTATGTATCATTTTATGAGGACGCTTCCTAAACATTAGCATGGTGTTGCTGTTGAAGTTTTGGATAATTCGTCACATCTAAAATGCTACAGTTATTTGATCAGGATCTTGATGAGGAAATGGAATTCTGAAAATGAGAATTTTATAATCAATTTAGATATGTATGATTTTATTTTCCCATGTTTAGTAGTTGTTTGAAGAAGCTAAATATGATCGCATGTACATATTTGATATTTTGAAATTTATATATATGTTTTATATTTATCACATATAGTCAAAATGTTTTGCTTATTTTGTACATGATTAAAGTTTTAATTTAGTGGGAGTCTTAAGGTTGAAAGAATTTAGGTAATTTTGACCTAGAACATATGATTTTGCATTATGAAATTAATTTTGTGATAATGTAACATCAGAATAATGGACGATGATTGGGAACTTAGTAAACTTTCTACCCCATTTCTAGTGTGAAATTATCATAAAACTCAATTTGCATGAGCGCAAATAATGTGTGCATAAATGGATAATTATATGATTGTCTCTAAAATTCTAAAGGACCATGGCATCTAATAATATCATAACTGACCTTAATAAGGGTGACAAATTGAATGGTGATAACTATAGTACTTGGCGCTATAAAATTTGGTATGTGCTGGAGAATCAGGATTGCCTTGTGGGCATTAATCAAGTGATGAAAAATCTAGGGGTAGGTCAAACTGCTCAGCAAAGAAGGGATCAGGAAACTTACTAGACATGAAAAAAGAAATATTTCACTGTTCGTGCAATTTTGGAGGTTCCTTGATGGATGATCTCATTCATGGGTGTAAGCAGTTCCCAACTACTCATGATATTTGGACATATTTGAGATAGAAATATAGTGGTACTAGTGTGATTAGACTAAAGCAGCTGAAAGTTAAGTTTGATACTTACAAGAAACTTCCTAATCACAACATCGCACAGTATATAAGGATCATGTCTACTATGAATAGGGAGCTAAAGTCGGCTGGTCACATACTCTCTGATGAGCAGCAAGTTTAGGCTTTGATTTGTTCCCTTCTTGATAATTGGGAACATTTGAAAGTCAATCTGATTCACAATAATAGCATCAAGACTTTTGCTGATGCTGCCCGTCATGTGGAACTAGCGGATGAGTGCCTTGGTGCAGCTAGTTCTCTGGGACATGCTTTTACGGCTGAATCTAGTTCTATGAAAGTTTCAGGCTTTAAGCGTAAGAAGAACTGGTTCAAAAGCGAGAAAGAGAAGGGAAAAGAAACTGGATAGGGACCTAAAAAGAACAAACCCGAGCGTAACAAAAGGGTAAATGGTTTGGAAAGAAGAAAGATGAGAGCAAGCTAAAATGCTTCAACTGTCAAGTGCTGGGTCACTTTGTTTGGAAATGTCTTGAGCCAAAGAAGACTCGGGAATGACAGGCCATGTAACTAGGGATCGAGAAGCATTTGTAGAGTTCTGTCGATTTTCAATTGGTACAAAGTGGATATACGTCGGTAACAATGATAGAGGGAAGTGAAAGGGATCGGTACATGTAAATTACATTTGTGTGGTGGTCATACTATTCTCCTTCATGATGTCCTATTTGCACTGGGGATAAGAATGAACTTAATTTTCGTTGTTGCTCTTTTAATATTGGGTTTCAGTCTGAAGTTTTGTGGTAACTCTATTCATATAAACTATGGTAATGTATTTTATAGATCTAAACATGTAGAAAGTGGTTTTGTAGTATTGGATAGTAATATAAACACATATAATTATAATGTTGATCATTGATTTTCTAT